CCCGACCCCCCCCCCCCCCCAACACCCAAGAATCCCAGGACTCAGATAGATCCTGTCTTCTTTTTGTTGCTCGTTCGATTAGATCCTTAGCCTTATCTCTGACAATGCCTGAATGGTTGGCATAAAAGCAGCACTCTTATCCTAAGAAGAGGCAGATTTCACCTTTCTCTGTCGTTAGTAAGTCTAATCCTCTTCTATTCTGTAGTACTACTGTGGCTGAGGAATCAACTTGATCCTGCAAGGCAATTAGGGTCTCACCTACTTTCTCTATGTCTTCTGAAAATTCTTAGGTTAAAACTTGATAAGAGGAGACAGAGTGAGCTATTCCCCCTACCCCAGCTCCTATGCCAACTGCAATTTCGAGTGCTATTAGAAGAAGAATCACTTGCAGAGCCTTTTTATATCTAGTTACTGCTTTAAGGGGGTTTCAAGGGATTGCTTGTTGGGTATAATAGACATATTTGGGCTTATATAGCAGGAGTGCACACTCCCATTCAATTTGCAGGCAGGCAGGGGTAAACAGTGGTCCCACACGTAGAATGTTCCTACAGTGGGGCACGAGGGGTTGGTGGTGTTTTCAGCCTTGAGAGTGGAGTTGCATAGATCATCTGGGAGGCTACCTATTGGATCTTGGCCCTGGGTACTGCTGAAACAAATAGGAGAAACATTAGTTAGGTGCACATTGGCCATGACAGGTCCTATTATTTTGTTCGCTAAGTTCCCTGGTTTAGTTATGTTTACCGGGGTAGCCATTAATAGGAATGGTCCTGGGGGAAGATATAACCAGCAATCCCTAGCCATATTAGGGTTGGTAATATTGAGGAGGTTGTGGGTTGAATCGAGGAGCTGATAGAATCAGGTGTCCAATTCATATTGCCTCTGTGGCCGAGTTCTTAGTCTGGGTATCAATACCTTGGATGCTTCCTGTCATTGCTTGATTGTTTCTAGTCTGATGGCTTCCCTGGCTCAGGCTCAGTCAAAAAACTTTGGTCCCCCCTACGGGCACAACAGATGTATGCACTGATTGAGAGTCCCTGACAATGGTTGTGGAGCTTACCTGTCCAGTAGAACTGTCTTCCATATACAGAGACTTATTCCAGTGTAGCAGTAGCTACTAGAAGCAGTATGGCTTCTAGTCAATACTTCCCTATGGCTGAATTAAGGGAGGGGGTCTGCCATATAGAATTTCAAAGGGAGAGAAACCTACCCTGGCCCTCGGGGCCCAGCCTACCCGCAGGAGTACAAGAGTCAAGATATCTGTCCAGTGTAAGGATGTCTTTTGCAATAGCTTAAGCATAGCCTGATTGAGAGTCCGGTTCATGAGCTCTATTTTCCCTGAACTCTGAGGCCTGTAAGATGTATGTAGGTTCCATTTAATTCCCAAAGCCTTAGCTACCTGATGTACTATTCTGCTACAAAGGCTGGGCCATTATCATATCCTATGGTCAGAGGCATTCCACATCACGAAATTATGTCCTTCAGTAATGCCTTAGTGACTTCTCTTGCCTTTTCTGTACGAGTGGGATATGCCTCCACCCATACTGAAAAGGTGCAAATAAAGACTAGCAGGTATTTATTTCCTCTGCTAGGCCCTATTTTCATAATGTCTATTTCTAAGTCTTAGAAGGAAGCTTGCCCACAGCACTGAACTCCTATTGGTCCTACAGGACCCTGTTTGGCATTGTTCTGTGTACAGAGGATGCAACGTTGAGAGACTGATGCACACAAGGAGGGAAGATGGGCAATTAGGTAGTATCTGCCTAACAAAGCTTCTAGGGAAATCTTCCCTAAATGAGTGAGTTCATGCTGCTGCAGTATTACCTTATGGGATAACTGTTCTGGGACATAGACCCTATGATCTGGGCGCATCCACCAACCTTCCTTCATTCTCTTGCCCCCTTCTTGCTGGACCCATTCCTCTTCCTGAGGAGTGGATTTTGGAGGTTCAGATAATTTGGGGGCCAACATGATCTGTGACGGTGCTACTTGTTCTTTAGCAGCCACCTTGGCTGCAGCATTAGTACGTTGATTTCCTTCTGACACTGCGTCTTTCCCTTTCTGGTGACCTTTGCAATGGATGCCAGCTACTTCCTTGGGCGCCCAGACTGCTTCTAGTAACTTTAAGATCTCATTCTGATTTTTTTATTCCATTTCCTGTAGTCATCAGGAGCCCCCTATCCTTGTCTATAGCCCCATGGATATGCAAGGGTAGCAGAGACATAGTGCAAATCAGTGTAAATGTTGGCATGCTTATCCTTACTGAGTTCTAGGGCTCTGGCTAGGGCTCAAAGTTCTGCCCTTTGCACTGACCATCCTTCAGGCAGGGCCTGTGTCTCAATTGTCTCAAAGTTTGATACCATATCCAGCTCATCTTTTTCCTTCATCTAGGAAGCTACTGCCATCTGTGAACAATACTAAATCCATTTTCCATAGGGGGCTCTCTGTTAGATCTGGTCTGCTGCAGTAAACCTCCTCTAGGACTTCTAGGCAATCATGCTCCGGAGCTCCCTCAGCAACGAGTAAAAAGGTGGCAGGATTAAGAGTTCTCACTGCTTCTATTTGTACCCATGGATTTTCACATAGGAGCCCCTGATACTGGGTCATCTGAGCATGAGTCAGGCAGTGCTGCCCCCCTAGCTTCCATTAGGTGACAACAGAATGAGGTACTTTGATATTTCAGCTTTGTCCCAAGGTAAGCTTATCTGCTTCTTTGACTAATAATGCTGTGGATGCAAGGGCCCTGAGACACGGGGCCACCCTGAAGCAACTGGGTCAAACTGCTTGGAGTGATAGACTACTGGTCTTTGCCAGGGTCCAAACTCCTGGGTTAGAACTCCTAGGGCTACCCCGCTGTTCTCGTGAACAAAGAGGTTAAAGTTCTTTGTCACATCTAGTAGCCCTAGTGCTGGGGCCACAGTGAGCTTTGCTTTAATAGTGATAAAGGCATTTTCCTGCTCAGAACTCCAGTTAATGGGTGCTTTCTCTTCCCCTTTCAAAGCTTCATAGAGAGGCTTGGCTATGTTTGAAAGCCTTGGGATCCAAATTCAACAGAACCCTCCTGCTCCCAAGAATTCCTGAATCTGCTGACGGGTGCTAGGGACTGGGATGGCACATACTGCCTGCTTTCTTTCAGTCCCTAGCCTTCGTTTCCCTTGGGTGATTAGGAAGCCTAGATACTTGACTTCTTTCTGACAGATTTGTGCCTTTTTCTTGGACACCCTGTAACCTATTTCAGTTAAGAGTCTCAGAAGGGCCCTAACCAGTTTGGCTCAGTGGATGGAGCATCGGCCTGAGGACTGAAGGGTCCCAGGTTCGATTCCGGTGAGGGGCATGTACCTTGGTTGCGGGCACATCCCCAGTGGGGAGTGTGTAGGAGGCAGCTGGTCGATGTTTCTCTCTTTTCGATGTTTCTAACTCTCTATCCCTCTCCCTTCCTCTCTGTAAAAAATAAATAAAATATATTTAATTAAAAAAAAGAGTCTCAGAAGGGTTTGCGTTCCTTCCCAGCACTGAGCTCACATGGAGCTTGCCACTAGGAGGTCGTATACATAGTGAAGTAGAATGCACCCCAAGTCCAGTCCTGGGGACTTAGACAGATCAGATGCTAGTGCTCCACTAAAGAGAGTAGGGTAATTCTTGAATCCTTGTGGCAGTCTGGTCCAGGTGAAATGCTCCTTGGCCCCCATAGTTGGGTTTTTCCACTCAAAGTCGAATGAAGACTGACTGGAGGGTGCCAGTTGAAGGCAGAAAAAGGCATCTTTCAGATCTAGACATGTTCACCATTCTGCCTTTGATGGAATGAGTCCCAGAAGTGTGTAGGGGTTAAGTAGCACAAAATGCAGGGTTATAACAGCCTCATTAACAGCC